TGTTTGTGTTTATTTCTGGATTCTCAGATCTTCTATTCCATTGATCTATATTTCTACCCTTATGCTAGTAACACATTGATTATAATAGCTTTGTAGTAAATTCTTAAGTTAGTGAGTCTTTCTACTTTATTTCTTTTTCAGTATTGTTTTTGATCCTTAGGGTCCTTTGCAGTTCGATATGAATTTGAGGATCAGCTTACCTATTTCTGAAAAAAAAAAAAAAAATGGCCATTAGCATTTTGATAGGAATTGCATTGAATCTGTAGATCCCTTTGGGAAGTTTTGCCATCTTAAAAATGTTTCATATTTGAATCCATGAACATAGATGTCTTCCCATTTATTTAAGCCTTCTTTCATTTCTTTCAGCAATATTTTGTAGTTTTTTAGTGTGCAAGTCTTCTGCCTCATTGGTTACATTTAGTCCTATTTTATTTTTGGATGGTTTTGTAAATGGAATTATTTTCTTAATTTTTTTTTGGTTCAATCATTGCTAGCATAGAAAAACAATTGCTTTTTTGTATGTTGATGTTACACCTGCAGATTTACTTCGTTGATGATATTAACGCTAGTAGGGCGCGCGCGCGTGTGTGTGCGTGTGTGTGTGTGTGTAGTCTATGGGATTTCCTGTATTTGGAATCATGTCACCTGCAGATAGAGATGGTTTTATTTCTTCAACCCTAATTTGGTTTGTTAAATAAACACTTTCATTTTTCTTGCATAATTGCTATGCCCAGGACTTTCCAGTACAATGTTTTAATAGCAATGGTGAAAGCATACAGTCTTGTGTTGTTACTGATCTTAGAAAGGAAAGCTTTCACCATTGATGTGTATGATGTTAGCTGTGGAGTTTTCAAGGATGCTCTTTACCCTGTTATGGAAATTCCTTTCTATTCCTAGTTTGCTGGGTATTTTTATCATGAAACAATGTTGGAATTTTGTAGTGTTCTTTATGTATCTATTGAGATTAAGTATTTTTTCTTTGTTCCATCAATATGATGTATTACATTGTTTTTCTTATATTGAAACATGGTTGCATTTGTGGAATAAATCTCACTTGGTTATGATATATAATGATTTTAATGTGGATTCAATTTGGTAGTATTTTGTTGAGAATTTTTGCATTCATATTCATAAGGGTTTTTGGTTTACTTTTGGTTATCGTTGTTTTAGTGCAGCAATTTTCAACTTTCTTCATCTCATGGCACACATAAACTAGTTACTAAAATTCTACAGCACATCAAAAAAGGTATTTTTTGCTGATCTGACAAAAAATAGGTATAATTTTGATTCATTCACACCAGACGGCTGTTGTGTTTGCTGTTGTTTTTTTTTTTTATTTGACAGTGTAAGGGAAAAGAGGTCAATATTCCTGACTAAAGAGTCAGGTATTGCATGTTTTAAAAATTCTTGTTGCACCCTGGCTGGTGTAGCTCAGTGGATTGAGCGCGGGCTGGGAACCAAAGTGTCCCAGGTTCGATTCCCAGCCAGGGTACATTCCTGGGTTGCAGGCCATAACCCCCAGGAACCGCACATTGATGTTTCTCTCTCTCTCTCTCTATCTCCCTCCCTTCCCTCTCTAAAAATAAATTAAAAAAATAAAATATTTAAAAAAAAAATTCTTGTTGCACACCAGTGTGCCTCATATTGCACACTAGTTGTAAATCTGGTTTTGGTTAATGCTGGCTTCATAGAATGTGTTAGGAAGTGGTCCATCTTCTTGTTTTGGAAGAGTTTGTGAAAGATTGGTGTTAATTCTCTAAATGGTAAAATTACCAGTGAAACCATCTAGTGCTAAACTTTTCCTTTTTGGAAGTTTTTTGATGATTGATTCAGTTTCTTTACCTGTTATAAGTCTGTTTAGATTTTCTATTTTCTCTTGAGTTAGGTTTTACAATATGTGTGTTTGTAGGAATCTGTTCATCAAAATTATCTAATTTGTTGGCCTCCAATAGTTCATAGTATTTTGTGACAATTTCTCTAAGGTCTGTGTAATGTTCCTATGTTTGTTTCCTATTTTAGTTATTTGCATCTTTTCTCTTTTTTCCTTAGTCAGTTTCTTTGTCAGTTTTACTGATCTTTTTAAAAAGCCAACTTTTGATTTGATGCTCTCTATTTTTATTCTCTCTTATCTGTACTCTAATTTACTTGCTTTCATCTGCTGGCTTTGCATTTAATTTGCTCCATTTCTAATTCTTTAAAGTGTAAAACTAGGTTATTGATTTGTCATTTTTTAAATGGAGGCATTTGTAGCTACAAATTTCCCTCTGAATACTGCTTTTGTTGGATTTAATATTTTGGTATGTTTTGTTTTCATTCATTTGAAGATTGCCTTCTTAATAAATTTCATCTGTAGAGAAGGCAGACTAAGGCTAGGATTTGATAAAGGTAAAAAATCAACTCATTTAGTGAAAGAAAGGGCAGTTTGTGTCACCCAATGGCCTTGTCTAAAGGGAATATTTTGTGAGATATTTTTATGTTCAACAGGAGTATAGTATGATTTAGCTGCAAGTATTAGATTAGTTCTTAGACATCAGGAGCTGCTTTTTTTTTAGTCTAATTATGTCTCTTTGTAGACATTCTTTTTTTCTGTAACTACTAGTACTTTTAAGATTTTCTCATTGTCTTTGATTGTCATCAGTTTTACTGTGATGTATCCAGGTATAGTTTTCCTTTTAATTATCCATCTTAGAGTTCTGGTGCTTCTGGAAACATGGCTTGATGTCTTTTGTCAATTTTAGAAAATTCTCAGTCATTATCTCTTCCAAGTTTTGATTCTATCTCATTTTCCTTTTTACTTCTGGGATTTCCATTAAATATGTGCTAGATCTTTCCACTCTATCTTTTTGGGGACTTCTTTTCTCCATTTTCCATCCCCTCGTTTCTCTTTGCTCATTCTAGATATTTTGTTCGGACCTTTTTCTAGTTCACTAATTAACTTTTTGTTTTATTTCAGTAGTTTTTTTTCCAGTTTTATGATATACAATTGACATGCTATAGTTAACTCTTGAATTGTATCTAGTTTTTAGTTTTGTTGCATGGTGGCCAGACAATATGGTCTACATGATTTCTATCCCTGCTGGAAATTTTTCTGTGGTCATTATAATAAATAGTCAAGTTTTGTAAATGTCTCACTTTTGTTTTTAAATAAGAATGTCTAGTTCCCTTTACATTTATTTTTAATTTACTGATTTTAGAGGGAAGTGGGGAGAGAAAGAAAGTGAGTTGGAGAGAGACATCAATTTGTTGTTCCACTTATTTATGCATTCATTTGTTTATTCTGTGTGCCACAACAAGGAACCTGCAACCTTGGTGTATTGGAATGACATTCTAACTAACTGAGCTACCTGGCCACAGCCAAAAGTCTGTTTCTTGTATAGAGCTCTCCATGTATTTGACTGATGGTCTTTAAATCTTTTCCATGCCCCATATAAGAATTTTGAAAAAGAGGCAGCCGTTGAAGTGTTCTGAGGAACATTGTATGTCTTAGGTTTTGAAAACTATCCCTCTGGTTGTTGTATCAAGAAAAGATAAGGGTAGATGCGCTAAGACCAGATTAGGAAGGTGTTGAAATTAGACAGGGAAGAGATAATAGCAGACCTGGGCATAGCAATAGTGAGAAGTGATTGGTTCTGGATGTAATTTGAAGGTAGTAAAAATAGGATTTCCTGATAGTTTGGATATGAAATAGGAATAAAAAAGAGTAAGGAAGACTTCTGCAGTGTTATTGACCTGAACAATTGCCAGAGATGCAGAAGTTTGCAGGTTTGAATTTGAGAACCTGTCTTTTGTAACGTGACCAAAAAGTGTTCTTAACAAGAGGAGATGGGTAAGGGAAACTAGAATTTTTTTCCTTGATCTGTTGGCTTTTGTGAAGAAGTGTTTATTAAACCCTCCCTCTGTAACTGTCAATTTCTCCTAATACTTCTACAAGATTATGATTATATATTTGCAGCCATTTTGTTGTATGCAAAGGGATTGAGTACTATATTTTCTTGGTAGATCTTATTACATATTATATTAATTGGTATACTTTATTAATATATAATTTCTATCTTTATTAGGCTTAGTGATTTTTGCCTTAAATTTCATTTGATTTTTTGATAGTAGGTATATATTTCTTTTCATTAATATTTGCCTAGTTTATCTTTTCATAATCTTAATTTTAATTTCTGTATTTCTTCTATAAACAACATATTGCATCCTTAAAAACAAAACAGTACAAATATGAATGCCTTTTTCTTAATATAGTCACAATAAATGTGAAAACTGAGGTGTTTGGAATTTTTATGCATTCTTATTTTTATTTTTCCTTTGTTGTTTTCCATCGTTGCTTTTTGTTTTTATTGAATCAAATTTTCTTTACTTTTTAATTCTAAAGATTTGAGGCTGTATATCTTACTTCACCATTTTAGTTACTTATAACATTTTAACTCACTTTTAAAAAGATTTCCTTCTAATCAGTGTCCACTACTCTAACTTCCCATGTTAAAGTCTATTTGGGACCTTAATTCCCAATTTCCCATGTTATTAAATATTATGTACTACTCGTTTTGTAAGAATTCATTTTGAACAATTATCCACAGTTATTAGATTTAATTACATGTTTTAGTGATTTAATTGTTCATTAATTTTATTGATCCTTATGTCTTCGATTTAAATATATTCTCTCTGTGCCTGAGTGTTTCACTGAATAATTCTTTCATCTGTTGATGGTAACTTTTTGGAATTTTTGCTTGTTCAAAAATGTCTATGTTTTGTTGTTATACTTGAATGCTAGTTTTAGCTAGTTATAGAATTCTGGGTTGAAAACTTTTCACATCTTGCAGCATGGTAACTGGCCACAATTATAAGAATGTGAGGAAACAGACATTCTTATATTGGAGGTAGACATGCATTTTATTAGAATTTGGGGAAATTATTTGGAAATGTACATTAAACTGAAAAATACACTTACAGCTTTAAAGAACCTATGTTGAAATAAAACACTACTATAAGGCTGCCTGTATAAGGATATTTATTGTTGCATATGTATACTATAATCTTATTTCTGTAAAGATAAACACAGAACAAATGTGCACATACACAAATGCACAAAAAGTAAAAGGATACATGTGACTATGACTTTGGTCATTGCAGTGGCAGAGTGTGGAAAAAGTATGAATAAGAAAAAAGGGAAGAATACACATGGGTATTACATTGGTAATTGAAGTGGGCGAGAGTGGAAAAAGTGGAGGAGACTGCAACAAATATGTTAGTTCTACTTCCGTAATTTTTTCAGGCAGATTTGGTTTTAAAAATTCATTTTCCCTCAGAAGTTTGACAACACAGCTGATGATGAATTGTGTATGCTTGTTCCTTTGTTTCTTTGTAGGTACTCTAGTTTTTGTTTTGTTTTCTGAAAATGAGTAGAATTCTTTTTTATTCCTAGAGTTCTGAAATTTCCCCAGGACTTGCCTGGTGACATGTTTTTTTCTTCATTCTGTTGAGCATTCATTGAGCCCCATTAATCTGAAGTTTTCTGTGTTTTTTGAGCTATGATTTTTTTTTCTGTTGTGTCCTCCTTTCCCCTGGTTTCTTCTTCTATAATTCCTACATGGAATAATGTATGGATTTAGACTTTGTGTCCCCTAACTTTTCTCTTGTTTTTTTAGCCCCTTCTTGCCCTTTAAAAACACCTGTGTTCTGGCGGGGGGACTATCCCATTTTCTCAGCTGTATCTACTCTGCTCTTCTACTTACTTATTGAGGGTTGTTTTTGTTTTCTTGGAGGGTTTTGTTTTTTTTTTTTAGAACTTTTTTATTTTAAAGTTCTTTGTCAGCTTCCCACTGAAAGCATATGATACTTTTTTTTTTATTTAAACCATAGTAGTTTTAGAATCTGAGGATATTATGTATGTTGAATGTATTTACTTACTCTTTTTATTCTAGCGACTAACCTTATAATGTTAAGAAATAAATTATAATTTTAGTCACTATCAATAACAATATGTAGCCTCATTGTTGTATAAAATAATAAATATTATACTTAACACACTAATTTTAGCCATTTTCAGATCCCCACACACTAAACCTTATGGAAAATTTTTTCTGAAATCTTAGGTAAGTGGTAACTTTGAGAAGCTGTGTGTCCTCACATTTAAATATTATATTGGGTTGGCCAAAAAGTGTGTTTGGTATTTTCCATAAAATAAAAGACACATTTTTCATTTTCACCAATAACTATTGATTTGGGTGTTTTGAGTATTTCAGCTATCTCCTGCTATTGCGTTCTAGTGGATAGAGGCCAGGGGTGCTGCCAAACATCTTCCAATGCATAAGACAGCCTCACAGGAAAGAGGTATTGGGCCAAAATGTCAATAGTACCAAGAAATTTTGCAACCATGTTTGATCAGTCGCAGCACCTCCTCCTATACTATACAACTCTTTTTTTTCCCATTTCAGTTGTGTTTTTATCCTTCTGGAAATAATAAAGCATAATACACCAAAAATATTATGTATTTTCTTCCATCTTTAATATTTAAATGGCTGCACAAAAAATTCACCACTTTTGATAATTTTTTTAATTCATGCTGATATGACAGGTGTCACAATACAATCTAACAAAATTGTTTAGAATGAAGTTAAAGACAACTAAGCACTATTAGAGCTGGAAAAAAACTAAACAAACTTTTTGGCCAACCCAATATAATATGTGTCTGTATAGAATCTATAGTCAAAATAATTCTACTCCAGACTCTGTGAAGTTATTACTCCATTGACTTACCATTTAGTTTTGACAGGATATGCTATGCTAATTTATATTGTGTATAAAAGCTGTTTTTAGTTTTCTTGTTTGTTTATTTGAAATTGTCATTCCTTTCTTTCCAGCAGTCCCTGTCAGCAACTGTTGTAGTTTATGGTTTTATCCACCTTCGTATGTCTCTCTTGTAGTCCATTTGCTTTGATTTCTTTGGCATGTTACAGTAGAGGAAAAATGAATTCATATCCTTGATAGACCCTAAGGAATTGGAAACTCTTAAATCCTGAGTGGCTACTTCATGTCCTTTTTCTGTCTTTTTTAAAAATAAAGGATTTTATTTATTTATTTTTATAGAAAGGGGAAGGGAGGGAGAAAGGGAAAGAATCATCAATGTGTGAGAGAAACATTGATTGGCTGCCTCCTGCCTACCCCCAACTGGGGACGCAGCTACTAACCCAGGCATGTGCCTGACTGGGAATCGAACCGGCTACCTTTCAGTTTGCAGGCTGGCACTCACTCCACTGAGCCACACCAGCCAAGGCTCATGTCCTTTTTCTTTGGAGGACTGGGTCAAGCACTGTAATTCCCCTGTTTGTTGCTGTATTAAATATTACTTCACTGAAGCTCTGCTTTATCCCCACAAGAGTGTTATATTATTCTAGCCCAAGAAACTCTTAAGATATGTTTCTTCTTCTGACTCTTCAGTTTCTTACCATTTATCCAGTTTATTATACCCTGGGAGTAGCACAAAGTCCCAGGTATTTCCTCTTAGAATAAATTTCTGCTTATAAGGGCCTCTGCCACGAGGATCAGTGCACAAAATCCCTGTCATCACTCAATAAATGAAATAAGTTAATGGCAAGTGTCATAGGGAATTAACATTTAATGAGTAATTACTGAATGCCAGGCTCTGTGCTACATTTTTTATGTACGTTTTATTTAGTCCTCACAGTCCAAAAGTATGTTTTATCCTTATTTTACTGACAAAGCCAAGGAAGTTTAAATAAAGTGAAGTAATTCTGTCCCAAGCTAGAAGTTGCAGAGCCAGTTTTCAAACCCAGGCATTTCTACCTCCAAAGAGTCTCCTGGTACTGAAGTATAAAATTTAGCCCAAACCCTCTCTTTTCTGCGAGGCTTTTCTTAGCCATGGTGCCTTCCACCTCTTCTCAACTATAGAATGTGTGATTAGTATGACTCAGTACATAATGCATTACTTTTTGATAGAAGTTTTGCATACATATGGATCCTATATGGTCTTCTGCAGTTAGATACCAGTACAGTGATTAGAAAACAAACAAAAAACAGCAATACCATTTGATTAGTGTTAAGAATGAAATTTTTCTGAAATTATCTCAACTTTAAATGTGCTTTAGTTACCTTTTATAAAACAGTAATGCAGTATTGATAACATTTTAGTTTTATGGATTGGGTAAATTTGTGAACATGCATTCTGTAGGTCTCTTATGCTTCAAAATTGCTATCTCTTCATTCTCTCTTCATATGAATAAACCTGAAAGAAATTCTTCTAAATCAAGGAAGAAAATCTGTTCCTTGAATAGAGCTTTACATTTGATAATAAGTATTTGCATTTTCTAAATACTATGTAGTATCTTCTGTAACATTTTGGTGAAATTTTGTAATTATTAAAATTCACAATAAAAATGTTGCTTTTATAAATGAAACTACAAAATTGAACATGTAATAAGTAAAAACTTGTTAGCAACTCAAGTGCTAAATCAGAGAAAAAGCAGTGACTGCGTACTCTATATTAAGGAAAGCAAATATTTTTTAATTTAATTTTTTACCATCCTAAGTGAACATAATTGTAGAGTAGTGGTTACTTTGGAATATTTTCTTAGAAGATAATTGGATTTCAGGGGGCTGATTTTAGAGAAAGGAAAAAAATTGAGTAAATGATAATGTCAGTAAGAGAGTTAACATTTACTAAAAATATTGTTATATAGAAAATAAAATTTCTGCCTTGACCATTGTGGCTCAGTCGGTTGGGCGTTGTCCTGCAAAGTGCTAGATCACCAGTTTGATTCTGATTTCCAGTCTGGGCACATGTCTGAGTTGCTGGTTTGGTCTTGGTCTGGGCATGTGCAAGAGGCAGCCAATCAATGTTTCTCTCACACATTGATATTTCCCTTATTCTCTTTCTTCTTCTCTTCATTTCTAAAAATAAACAAATAAAATCTTCTTAAAAAATGAATAAAATTTCTGGTTTTGTTTTGTGCTAGTTTTTAATGATATTGTCACAGTTTCCCATCTACATATACATAAATTTGAATTTATAGAGTTTAAATGTGTATAATACAAATAAAAGGTTTAGTACTCATTACAGATTATTACAGAATTAAAGATTTGTTTTTACATTCTGAACCCTTTCTATAAAATGGTCATAATTCAGTAAAATAAATTACTCTGTGGGTATAATAATCTTCCAAGTTTACTTTCCATTTTAGACTATAAACAATTTTGTATTTTCTAAATGTAATTAATAGTGATTGACAAATTAATGCAATCTTTATAATGAGTTTTACTTTAACTATTAAAATATATAAAAGTTTAAAATATATATATATATATATATAGTTGAATATGTGAAGTTTTGAATTTGGAATTATTTCAGAACACCAAAACAAGGAAAATTGTTTTAGTATTTTAAGAAATAGCATAACATTTGTTATATTCCAGGCACTCTATTAAGGAACAGATTATCTCTTCAACTGTTGTAAGGAACTTCTTGGAAGCCCTAATTGTTTGCATTTACAGTTATACCACTAAATTTGAAGTACACTCTCTAATGGACCTTAATCCTGTGTAATCATACATGGTTGGAGCAGAAGTTTCATCAGCAATACTAAGAGTATTCTTATCTTTTAAGTTCTTAAACAGATTTCTAGCCTTTCTTGAATGATAACCATTAGGCAGATAGACATCTGACACTGAAGTTGATTCTGCACTTAAAAGCTTCGTTTGTCACATTCTCTTCTCTTTTGCTGATTATTGACAAATAAATAGGCACAATATTTTAAAGCACTTTTTATATTTTTACTTTTTTAAATGTTTATTTCTTTTATTCAGTTACATTTATTTATTTATATTTTATTGTGGCACAATGTTTTTTAATGGTGGAATTCTGTTCGCCCTTCTGAATTATTTCAACTTTAAAGCAGTTCATTCTGTATGCACACAAGGTCTGTCCAGAAAAAGTCCAGCTATTGTTAATATAAAAAAAAGGTTTGTATGACATCCATGTAACCTGGCAGCCAAGGAGAGTGGACTGGAATGCACATGCTGAACAATGATGACTTCACTGTACTAGTCATTGGGGGTGGTAGACACCATTGAGTGAGCATGTGTACTATGTGGCCACTGCATTCAGAATGACTAAGTAGAGCAATGAATCTGCATCAAATTTTGCATTAAGCTTGAAATTCCTCCATGAAAACTATTCAGATGATTCAGAAGGCCACAGCTATGGGCACCTGGTGATTGGCAGCTTCATCACAACAACGTGCCTACTCATGTATCACATCTCATGCAAGTTTTTTTGTGAAGCATTAAATCACCCAGGTGATTCAGCCCCCTACAGCCTAGATTTGGTGCCCTGCAACTTCTGGCTTTTCCCAAGATTTAAAACCACCTTTGAAAGGGAAGAGATTTCAGGCCATCAATGAGATTCATGAAAATACAATGGGTAGCTGACAGTGACTAGGAGAACTCTGTGAGGTCCCTAGGTACTTATTTTGAAGGGGACTGAGGCATCATTGTCCTGTGTACAGTGTTTCTTGTATGTTTTATATTCTTCAATAAATGTCTCTATTTTACACTTTCTGGAGAGACCTTGTATATAATATTTATCTTACCACTTTTGGTATTTTTTATTATCTCTTTTCACTTCAAATACAATTTTATGTTTTGTCTCCCTCAGACTTTTTTTTAGAGAGAGGGTAAGGGAGGGAGAAGGACGGGGAGAGAAACATCTATGTGCGAGAGAAACATCTATTGGTTGCCTCTCACATGCCTCCAACCTGGGACCTGGCCTGCAACCCAGGCATGTGCCCAGACCAGGAATCAAATCAGCGACCTTGCAGTTTGAGATATGATGCCCAACCCACTGAGCAATGCCAGTCAGGGCCCCCCTTGGAGTTTTAACGTATTTCTTCTGCACTTATTGGACATGGGTTAATACTTTTAAAATATCTCAAAACTAAGCACAAAGAGCAAATTCATTATAGACTGAAAAACAAAAGACTAAAAGTAACATAACAATTCATGGTATTTAATGAATACCATGATACCACTAAGTCTGTTGGTGGAGGACAAAGTTGACGCACTAGTTCTGGAGTATGAA